TTAGAAAAAGAGCTTAACAAAAGAAGTGTAAGACTTGTACACTGAAAACTGCAAAGCACTGTTTGAAACATTAAGGAAGATCTAAATAAAGAGAAATACACCCTATGTTCATGGTTTACTATCTTGTGTCAGCATAAAAGTAAAGAGTTTGTAACTTTCCATTGGTGCTTCTCTTTAACCTAGACGTAAAGCATGGTGAAATTTCCAATTGTGTATCAATCGGGGGAGTTTTCTTGTTAATCTTTATCTTTATTGTATTTCGATGGATCGTGTGGTGTTTATGACTTCTGCCTTTGAGCACCGACCTAGGATCCAGGAGATCGCCATTCACTTTCCCGTCAGGGCACGTGCAGGAGGCAGCCGATCAACGACTGTCACCATTGATGTTTCTCTCTATCTCTCCCTCTCCTTTCCTCTCTCTGAAATCAATAAAGATCTATTTAATAAATAAATAAATAAAATGTGTCGATCCTTATTTGGTGATCTAGTTAAGTTTTGAGAATGTTCTATGTTTATATAGGAAAAAAACGTGTGTTCTCCACTTGGGGGTGCACAGGCGCACATGAAGGCGTGCCTGCAGACGGCTGCATTACCTGCGTGTCACTTAAGATTCTTTTTAATGGCCCGGATGCTCCTGCCAGCTGTCCCGGCTTCTCCCAGCCGGGGTGGGAGAGACTGCGAGGGCTCATTCCGGTTGCACAAACCTTTGCAGGAAGTGAGGCCTGTTTCTCTATTTCCACAAACGTACACCACATGGGGTGGGGTGAGTGTGTCACCATCTAGGGAGAAGCTCGATCGTGGATAATGAGACCTACGAAGTAGTGCAAACTCGTTGTGTGACCCCGGCCAAGTCACTTTGGGGGCCCGGAGTTCCTCCCCTCTGGGGATGGAGACCACACTCGCTCTGCCAGCGTTTCCAGGTTCGCCAGGAGACGGGAATGCGAACAACACAAGCGATCATGAAACTTAATAACCACTGGCGGTGGCTGGCAACATTTAGACACAGGAGAAGGAACCGACAGCGAGGGAAACTTCAACGCAGGCACCCAGGCGCTCTGTCGGTTCCCTTTCGGGCCCCAACCGCCTCCGCTTCCCCGGGGCGCCCCCCCTCCCGCGTGGAGAAACCCCAGCCCGGTCACGCGAGTCTCCCCCGGGGCCCGCGGCACCTGCCCGAGGATGCTGTGCGCACGGCAGGAGCCCGCCCGGGGCTGGAATCCGCGCCTCCGCCCCGAGAGCCCGGCCCGGCCTGCACAGCGCCGCCTCCGGGCAGGGGGGCTGACTGTGGGGTGCAGCCCAAACTCATTCATCAAGAGGCT